ATGCCAGGGTCTCCTGGCAAGCAGAATGGCAGATACTGCTAGGATGGTGCATTTGTGACAAGCTGGGTCCTTACTGTGTTCTGTATTGGTTTTATCAGTGGCCTTTCACTCACATTGGGCCTCCCTGAGGTTGGGAAAAGTTGACACCAGAGCACCAAGCAGGAAATGATAAGAGTGGCAGGCCTCCAATCATGAACCTTCTCACAAGAGAAAACAGCACACCCCCAGCCCACAGTACCCTTGGCCATATGGCCTGGAAAACAGCAAGCTCTTTTTTGAAGGCTGTGAGTGAGGGCTGGGTGTTGTTTCTCAGTCTGTGGCCTGGCCTAATCTCGGGAGGTGAGGTTATGCTCTCCAGACCTGATGTAATTAGTGGTTCTTGTCTTTTGTCACCTAAGGAAGTTATTCTCTGTAAGGCTGGCATGAACGAGAACTAACATGGAATTTTTCTTAGAGGAACTATAGAGTTAATTTCCTGCCAGCCTTTGGTCACAACATTTTTGTCAACCAGTTAGTACTTAACCTTGTTTTATGTGTTTCTGTTTAGACACTATTTAATAGTTGAATCATTAACATTGAGTACATAGCCAAGTGCATTCTGACACAAGCCTGCACAAAACTTGGCTAAAACGCATATTGTTTGTCCCCTTGGTTTCTCAACTTTCTTGACTTAGGGATATCAGGCAGCCTTTCAGCACCAAACTTGGTGCCTTGAAATAGTAAAATCTTCAATGAAAAGCACACCAGTGTGAACAACTTCAGGATACACCTTGGGAAGGGAATTTCACAGCATGAGGGCAAAGCTGAACCAAAAGGCAGAGCCTCCATAACCTGAATATACATGTGGGCAATCAGTGATGTCCATACGCCCCACCTCCCCCAACCTAGAGTAGTAGTTTTGGGTTGCAAAATGTTAGTAAGACATGTGAGTAAAGTGACCCCAGTTGTTGGGCATGAATTACCCTCCCCCAATAGTCCAGCTATACAGATCATGTGGCTGAGGCACAGATGCAATCCCCCCTAGAAGCTAGCTAAAGGTTGTGAAAGGAAATGACATTCCATCCCAGATCTTATCTTACTTAAATTGTTTCCTGCAGATTAACCATTCATTTCACCAAAGGTTTATCATGGAGCCTCTGTATGAGAAACTGGGTCAGGGGCTTTGGAGCATGCAGAGATAAGCAGAACACAGAGCCTTTGTCTGCTGGAGAGAAAGACATGGACATGTGTTTCTGTTCTGATTTCTACAAGAAAGGGTAAAATGTGCATTGACAAAAACAAATGCTTTAAAGATATAAGGGAGATGGGATTGTGCCCCAAACCTGCTCTGTAGCATAACTTGAGTTTAGCCTGAGCCTTGAAGGATACATTTGGAGAACAGAGAAGCAAAGTGGACTGAAGATGAGGCAAAGTTAAGGGCAGTTCCTGACAGAGGAAGTAGCATGAGCCAAGGCCCTGAGGCAGGAGCTCGTAGAAACACATGCTGTGAGGCTCTGGCCACAGGTCTGAGACCATAATAACAAGGTGTACTGGGAGGGACTGTGGAGAAACAAGGTGCCATTTTACTTGAATTTTCTTCTCTGGCCACCAGCAGATGTGACAGATTTCTTAGAATAAGGGTGTTATGTGACAGCAGTTAGCAGCCTCTAAACTCTGTAAATATATGTGCCATTAGTACTTAGACTAAGTACTCATTACAGCTTCTTTTTTTAAGGTCGGTGCTTTTAGTGTTACAGTTTATAGATGAAGAAACAAAGCACAGAGATGTCAAGTAACTTCCTCAGAATTCACAGCAAGTGAAGAGGAAGTCTTAATCACTCTATTCACTCTATTCTCTAACTTGGGAAATTCAATCATGTCATCTGTTGATAACTACTATGATGGCTATTTTGGTTGTCAACTTGACTACACCTGGAATTAACTAAAACTCATGCAGTTCAGTACACCTGTGAGGGATTATTTTCTTAATTAAATCATCTGAATTGTGGGAAGATCCACTTTTAATCTGAATCTTTTGAGGTAGGAAGATCCACCTTTAATCCAGATCTTTGTGAGGTGGGGCATGGAAGAAGGAAGCTTGCTCTTTGCTGCTTCTCTCGCTCTTGCTGGCAAGTCCATTCCTTCACCGGCATTAGAGCCTACTTCTTTAGGATTCCAGTATATACTGAAGACCAGCTGAGATATCCAGCCCAACTACTGGATTCTTGGACCTTCCATTTGTAGACAGCCATTGTTGGATTAGCTGGACCACAGCCTGTAAGCCATTCATTTTATATATATATATCAGAGATATATATATATCAGAGAATAAATACAATTCACCCTATAAGTTCTGTTCCTCTAGAGCACCCTGATTAATACAACTACTCAATCATATTATATACTGTCCACATTTAGGTTTTTCCTAGATGTTATGAAAACACCCTCTACCTAAGTTTTGTTTAGCTTTGTGGATTTGATCAAGGATTCAGTCAGAGATCACGAATAGCAGTTGGCCTTTATGTCTCTGTAGTCTCCATTATGACCTGTCATGTCTCTCTGCCTTTTTTTTTTTTTTTTTTTTTTTTTTTTTTTTTTTGGTTTTTCGAGACAGGGTTTCTCTGTGTAGCTTTGCGCCTTTCCTGGAACTCACTTGGTAGCCCAGGCTGGCCTCGAACTCACAGAGATCCGCCTGGCTCTGCCTCCCGAGTGCTGGGATTAAAGGCGTGCGCCACCACCGCCCGGCGTCTCTCTGCCTTTTTAAATTAAAAATTAAATACACACACACATATGTGTGTGTGTGTGTGTGTGTGTGTGTGTGTGTGTGTGTGTATATATATGTATTGTGTTTTGTGATGCTAACATGTTTACTTCCCAAAGTTGTCTAGTAGAACTTTCTATAACCTAAGATTCATTTGACTGTTGCTGTTCTTGTGGTGAGATTCAGGTTTAACATTGCTGGCCAGTCTGCGCTGCTTCTCTTGAAAGTGTATGATGTTGGCTAGGTGGTTTTCCGCTTGAGGGTGACTCTTGGACCACTCGTGTATGCTCTTCCCTGACAGCCCTTTGCCCAGTGACTTTAGTGTCTCTTTCTGATTCTTATGTGAATGAAATTGCTATGTTGCAATATGATACAAATGGAAGTTCTGATGCCTCTTTACTGATAAAAAGTGTTTTTCATCCCTTACCCTATTTGGGAGAACTAAGACCCCAAAGACTAAGCAGATGGAACTAAGCACTGGGACACCTGCATACTATCTCTTCTTCTGTGAGAGTAGGCTTATAGTTTTATAGTTTATATATACTTTAATATATAAGTATATATATATATACTTATATATATAAGTATATATATATACTTATATATATAAGTATATATATATATATAAAGTATAAAACTATACTTTAAAGTTTTGTACTTTATACTTTAAAGTTTTATAGGTGTGTGTGTGTGTGTGTCTGCTCTTTTTATTTTAGAAGTTTTTTTTTTTTAAGCTTAAAATGTGGATATTGAGGTAGACAAGAATGCAAGTTGATCACCATTCTGATTCCCTGAACAGAGAATGTTAATGAGATTAGTTTTCTTTCTAAAGCCTCAAAACTGGAGAAATGCCCTAAGTGTCTCGGAAGTAGTTTCTTTATCAAGTGTATTATACTGAGATAAAATGACATTAAATCCACAAGGTTCGTTTGAAAGATAGGGTAAGAAGGAAATTGTTTAGCAAGGGGACTTCTTGATCTAGGCTAATCATCTTCTAGGGAATTTATCCAAGGGCTTTTGCACCCATTGGCTGAAGATGGGCTCGTTCATTCAGCAGTGTTATCTGATGGGGATTTTGTTTCTTCTGAAAGCTGACCATTGTTCTGTTTGCTGGGGACTTAGTGGGGTAGCAGGAAAAGACTCATGGCAAGCAGTGCAACATAAAACCCACCTGTCATCCTGGAATTAGATACATGTGCTATGTAAATTCTTCACTTGCAGTTCACAATGAAACAGTGTGCTTTTGAACAAATTGATTATCCTTCCTAACAATATCCATTTTTAATATTGAAGCTAGAGCTTTAGCATTCTCTAGGTATTCAGTTAGCATTGGCTTCATTTTTATTCTTATGTCTTTTGGGGGAGTTTGAAACATAGTTTCTCTATGTAACTGGCTATCCTGGAACTGGATGTGTAGACCAGGTTGGCCTCAAATTCACAGAGATCTGCCTGCCTCTGCCTCCCAAGTGCTGGGACTAAAGGTGTCTGCCAGCATGCCTGGAAGATGTTCTTGTGTCTAAATAGCTTTGAATTCATGCCTGCTCTTGAACCATGAATTTGCATTCTATTCTTAAAGTCTTGAAAAAAAAGATTTTACCCTTGTTTATTGACAGATCACCCCACACACCTTACTGGGTTCTTTTCATAGGTGATTACTGTAATATGGTCACATTAACATGGCATGCTTGTGTTTGCAGAGAGTTGAATAACTTTTAAGTTTAATCAATTTTTATGCTATATTCAAGATTATTACAGTATTATGAATTCTAGAATATGATTGCATAAGTTATACCCCTCTAATTCAAGCAGCCTTGAAACTTCGAGGTTGAGACACACTCGAAGGAATGGTTTTAGTTTTCAGTCATAAGGTAATAGATCCTAAAATCTATTGATTAATGAGATTAGCATGTTCCTGAAAATTATAGTAACTCTACAGGAGACTTGAGGGTTCAGCCAAACTCGTTTTTTTCCAGTGACCACTTGCACAAAGAGCTTACTCTTTTTGTTACTTGCAGTGGCCAGACCCACCCCTTCCCCACATATTTGGCACTGAAGACCTGCTTTAGTCGGACTTACAGCTTACTGGACTAAAATGGATGAGGAATGCTAGAATATTTCCTATTGCTGAATTCATTGTCTTATTTCTGGTATATGACATGCCACATAATTCCAGAGGTTAGAAGGAGTACAAGGAAACCAGAAATCTTATTAAAGAAGTGGTCTTGTTCTTCTGTATAGGTGAGGCGTAGACCTAGTGAAAATGGTAGTTCCTGCCCAGTAATCCCCGGTTGTTTGTTTTGTTTTGTTTTTTCCCCTCAATAATCACAGATCTCTGTTATCTGTGTCTTATCCCAGCAAATTACTTTGACTTGAGCTGAAAATATACTTGTTGAATTCAGAAGGCTGAATTCATTCTTAGAAAACTTAGGTAGTATTTGCTTCCTAAATAGTATCCCTCCCCGCTTCTTTTTGCTGTATTTTGCTCCATTTTGTCTATTTTATGTGTGTTTTACTCATTCTTCATTAACTTATACCCTCATTTCCAGAAGGCAGTATATATCCCACTAGCCTCCCACCATGGCAGGATGGTTTGGGCTGTGCTTCCAGCAGGTATTGAGCAGGTTTGGAGCTACCACTCGTGATCATGGTTCCAACATGGAGACAGCAGTTCTGATGATCCGTGGTACCAGACTGCTTCAGGCACACTTGTTCTCAGGTGCCCCAGCATGCTGCTTGTAAGTGGCTGGTTCAGAAGGAATGTGAAGATTGGAAACTCCACCTATGTGCTCCTAGTCTTGATGTCCTCATTTGTGAGGCAGAGGAGAGAACAACACACACCACCTCTTAGGGATTGTCAAACAAGGGACTTCAAAAAGTTTAAAAATCTGGGGATGTCAGGTGAACTCATTCTTGAGTCATTCTTGGGGTTGGATTCTGTTGCCTCTAAGAGAATGTATCTTACTTGCTGCCTTCTGGTGCCAGCTGGTGGTGGCCTGGCTAGGGTGTTCTCTCCTTAATCGGGAGAAGACTTGTGTCCTCAGCCAGTGGAAGATCCACCGAAAGTTCAGACAGAATACACTATATGAGTGAGAAGCATCCTCCTGCTGAGCGGATGGCACCGGGGAGGTCTCCAAGGAGCTTTGAGCTATCTGGCTTATCTCCTGTTGAGAAAACAAAAATGAGTTAGATGCATGTAGTGTCAACAGTAGTGGGCTTGTTGTCTACTCCCTTATAGGACCCAAGCCCATTTGCCCAAAATAGCCCAACTACAGCAGAGCTTCTAGACCCATTGTCTTGGACACATATATAACCATATTTACATGGTTGTTGGTTCTATTTGCTACTCCTACCCTCATCCCTCCCTCCATGGTCCTTGGTGTCTTGTCCTCTAGCTCCACCCTCTTTCCTTTCCTGGCTATCATCTTCCTCCCTTGTCCTAGTCTCCTGCGACTCATGTTGCCTCAGAGCAGATAGTGAGGCTCCACTGTCCAACCCTCTCTTCCCCAGTCCTTCCCCTTGCTCTCCTGGGAGGCTTCTCTGTGCTCACCACAACTTCATCTTTCTGTAGCTTTGGAGGATTCTCTAGGATCTGACAGATATCTTCATTTTCTGGTGTTTTATGCTTGGGCAAGTCTTGACAAATGTCAAGGAGTGGAGGGGGAGTACTGGTCAGGTGGACGTCTTTGTTCTGAGTAGGTTCAGGGAGTGCATGACCATCATGTTGGCTACCTTTTTCTTTTTCTAGAAATGTCTCGAGTTTCTGTACTAGGTTATCCAGTTTGCAGAGAGTCAGTTTTGTCCTATCTTCTGGCCACTTATCCATCCACTGGTGGTGGCCATTTAAATCCAGATTAGCTAGAGAGTCTGCATGGTCAGGCCCCACATCAGTATCCCAGGCCAGCATGATGCTTAGCTTGCAGAACTGCTTTGGGCCACCCTCCATCTGATCTCGTTTCCAGAAGAGTCTCCTTACACTCTCTGTCCCCCAGGTACCTTGGATAGGAGGGAGGAAGTGGATGGAAGAATCCATGGAGGCTGCCTCCTCACAGGAGAACATCTCCTCATAGGAAAACGTGTTCTCAGGGGGGTAGTGGCCAATCGACAGGCTCTGGTAAGATTGGCATTCAGAAGCAGAGTCCTCTGTGCTACTGTAGTCACTGCTAGAGGGTGAAGTTGTCATGGTGCTGAGTCTCCAATCTCATGTCTTCCTTGACTCAGGGAACTTCAGAAGGAAAAAATTAATACATGATATTGGAGAGGGAAGAGAGTCGTGTGAGCCATCCCTTCTCTATGGAACTATCCCACTCCATACAGTACAGTCCATCTGTTTGTACTTTCTGCCTCTGTAAAAACATTTCACAGTGTGACAACAACCCTCTGGGCATCTCTTCTTGGTACCCCTCATTCGCTTGACAGTATTTGAGAGAACGTGTATCATAAAAGAAAAGGGAAAATTGAAAATGACAGGAAAGTGTGGATGGAGTTCAGTATGCTTTTGGTCCACAACCCTGAGATTCAGGAGACCAATTTCTTGATAAATACATGTATCTGTGCACATATGTACATACATACACATATCCAAATACATGTGGTTCTCACATCAACAGAAATTTACTATTAAATTTATAATAATATATGGCTACTCTGTATTCTTAACTATTTTCTTATTAAATAGCCTATTAACATTAATATATAATTTTAATTACATAGCCAAGTAGTATCAATTTCTTACTAAATGGCTTATTAATAATCCTTAGCTTAGATGACTAATGACCATTAGATTACTTAAGTCCATTAAGTGGTACACGGGGTGAGTGGACCAGAGATCACAAATATATAGTCTTATAATAGTTGATACCAGACTGCTTTCTAGAAAGGTGACTGCCATTCAAGCCCCCATCCTCCCACTGTATGTTTATTCTGCATTTTCCATGATCCCCCTGTAAATAGAGCTGGAGGACCACACACACACACACACTCACACATGCCCATGCCTCTGTCATTCCCTGATGAGGGCTGCCCACATGAGACAGGCGCTTCCAGCTCCCGAGACATAAGTGGGGGTGTCAGAAACCCTTCAGGGCCCACATCTTAGTGATATAAAGCCCAACTGCTTCTGAGAAGTTTGTGTTCCAAGACCGTTGGTTACCATGGCAACAAAGGAACCGAGTTTATGGTCTGAAACTGTAAAGGGACAGGACCTTTCCCTTCAATTCCAGAGTATTCTGTGCACATATCATAGCAGGCTGAACTCTACTCATTAGAATCAATCAGTTCCATGAGATTTCCCCCAAATGTTTTCCTCCCCTAAGATTGCAGTTAAGGTTCGCCACGTGTCACACTTAGGTTTTCACCACTGGACTGGCTTCCATTTCTAGGTTCTGTTAAATTAGATTGCTGTGGGTGTTGATGGCATGATACAAGACACAGGCCTAGCTGGAGGCAGGAGAAGCTCTTTCCTCCACTGTCCAGAAGATACAACTTAGCAAGGCTCTCAGACTGCCCCAACTTTACCAGCCACTGGGGACCACTTAACTGTGTGCTGGGTCTTGTGATAAGCCCTTTACCCAGTTCTGAGTTATCCTGGAAGGAACATGGGCTGTAACCATTACTGTTTTTCTGAAGAGTCAAGGTGGGAGTGGTTCTGTGCATGTTCACCTTCCCAGACCATATCCTCAAGAACCTGAATTCAGACAGGCTATGCTTCAGGCTCTAGTCTCTAGCCTCTGCACGTCCTGTCTCTGGGGAGGTTCTCCATGCACCTCCTCCTTCCATCTGGGTAAAGCGATTCAGTCCACAAGCAAAACCATGTCCTGGTTCCTCAGGGAACCGCATGCTCCAGGACACATGTTAGTGCTGCAAGTGCTCTACACAAGGACCACATTTGGTACAAGGAAGGTTAAAAATAAGCCTCCAGCCGGGCAGTGGTGGCGCACGCCTTTAATCCCAGCACTCGGGAGGCAGAGCCAGGCGGATCTCTGTGAGTTCAAGGCCAGCCTGGGCTACCAAGTGAGTTCCAGGAAAAGGCGCAAAGCTACACAGAGAAACCCTGTCTCGAAAAACCAAAAAAAAAAAAAAAAAAAAAAAAAAAAAAAAAAAAAAAAAAAAAAAGCCTCCAGTTCTTCCGTGGTTTCATGTGGGCTAGCTTCCTCTGCTTTGACTTTTGCATTCCAGAACACTAGGTACTCCTCAGGAGGCTTTCCTTTTATGCACCTGAAGAGGGGATAAGGCAAAACTGTGCTGCTCTGCCTCCCATGAACATAGGGCACTGTAAACCAAATATGAGCAGTGGAGAGGAGAACGTGGTCCTGCAAACAGGAGAGCTTCAGAGAGAGAGCCCAGAAAAATCTGGAGTTTTCATTTTTACCCTCCCTTGCTCTCTTGTGTCCCACCTCCCTCCCACCCTCCCTTCTTCTTTCCTCCCCTCTGGAACTCCACTCTTGCTTCTCTCTCTCCGCACATGTACACACATATACACACACGTTTTTCCTCATTTTAAATGTACAGCTCAGGTTGTGAAAGTCCCTGAAACTGACCTTATTTCCAGCTTCCAAGGAAAAAAAAAAAAGATACCCATGGCTAATAGTTTTATATATATATATATATATATATATATATATATATATATATATATATATAAAATTTATTCATATTCAGAGTCTTAAAAAGCCATCATGACACCCAAGCTTTTGTCTCTGGTCAGTCAGGGGTTTGGGGTCTTCAGCAACAATCCCTATTGTGTTAGTTTCTTTTTTGTTTGTTTGTTTGTTTGTTGTTTTTCCAGACAGGGTTTCTTAGTGCAGCAGCCCTGGCTGTCCTGGAACTCACTCTATAGACCAGGCTGACCTCGAGCTCACAGAAATCTATCTGCTTCTGCCTCCCGAGTGCTGGGATTAAAGGCGGGCATGTGCCCGGCTCTTGTGTTAGTTTCTTAATTGCACTTGCTGGCCTGGCTTATTTTGTACTGTCTAAGACAGTGTGATCTGACTTTCTCTTGAAGCAAGACCACCCATCATCAAACTTGAGATTTTTAACAGTGATAGTGTGCTGTGAACTTAAAGTAGTTTGGGCCACAAGCCAGCAATAATAGTGACTGAGAACTGGAACACTTCCTAAGATCCATTGACTTGATAAGACTTGAAACCTAAATTTGTAGAGAAGGAAGCTTCTGATTTGATGGTTATAATTTTTGTGTCAATTTGACTGGGCCACGGGGTTTCTAGATTTGTGGTTAATATTTTTCTGAGTGTCTGGATGAGTTTAGCATTGGATCTGGTGGACTGAATAAAGCAGGATGCCCTCCCCTGTGGGGCCTGACTAGGGCAGAAGACTGTAAAGGAAAGTTTGAGCTGCTCAGCTGTCCAGGAGCGGGACGTCAGCTTCCCTTTCCCTGTCCTTGGATGGGGTGTAAACACTTTCAACTCTCCTGCTTCTCAGGTTTCCAGACTCAGACTACAGCTTTACTGGTCACCGTCTTGGGTCTCTAAATTACAGATGGCAGATCTCGGACCTTCTCAGCAATTCCTTGTAACAAGTCTCTTTTTATGTATTAAGATCTCCTATTGTTTCTGTGTCTCTAAAGAAAGCAGGCTATCCACTTATTTTGCTGTTTTTGAAATTAATGTAGTATATTAGCTGGCCATGTAGTACATACCTGCCCTTGGGAGATGAAGGCAGGAAGAATGTGTGTAGCTCAGGCTGACCTTGAAGTTGTGATCCTCTTGCCTGATCTTATATGGGATTTATATATATAAAACCTGATAGTTGAGTGCCTATCAAATTCCAGACCCTATGTCCTGCCACTTGTAGCAGCAATGTTTATTTATTAAACTAATTTATTTGATGTATGTGTGTGCACCACATAGATGCCAGAGGGTCTTGGTCTTGTAATTAGTATTATAGATCTGGCTGTGGGCCTCCTGATGTGGATCTTCGAACTTAACAGGAGTCTTCAGCAAAAACAGTCTTACCTGCTGAGCTATCTCTCCATCCCTGTTCTTAAAATGATTTTATTCATCTGTAAAACAGAGATAATGCTATCCTCCTTGGCGAGATTTTGAGGTGATTGGAGATTGTATGTAGGATGTTCGATACAATGCCTTGCATTGGCAGTGACACCCTCCTCTGGAAGAAAAGGATTTATTTTATCCTAGTATTTCAGATACACATACCCCTGGTTATGTATCAAAATCATGTGCATTTATTAACTATAATTCTGTTTATGTGATGGTTGCCTCTGAAAAAGCATGGTGGATGAATGTTCAAGTTAGTGTCTGCTCCTGCCAGCATGGCACCAGACAGCAAAAACCTGAGACTACGGGGGTCACAGTAAAGGAATTCCCAGAGTTAGTGTCCTTACCCAGTCTACTGACAGCATGGGAGCCGCTGTGGAAACTTCATTTTTGAGTGTATTGTGCCATTGAGAGGAAAGAACCAGAAGGAATCTTTTGGGTAGGAGGGAGAAAAGAGTGTTACCTACCCTGGACACTCGGGCAGTGGTGATGGCTGACAGATCTACCTTTGGCAACATTCTAATTTGGATGCAGTGTTTCTACCGAAACCAAAAATGTTTAAAGAGAAAGACTGGGAGGATGTAGGCTCCCCAGGAAACAAGAAACCAAAGAGTGAAATTTCCTTAAGAGACTAGCAGCAAAATGCTTAAAATGCAGATCTTCATTCTGTCTAGTCCTCAGGGCACTGTGAGGGTAAGGGCGGAGATAGGTTTGAAGTGAAGGGAGGGCAGAAATGTCCAAGGTTGACTGTTAAGAAGGAACCTAATTAGAGGTAGAGGCACTGGCACCTAGTTCCCAAGTTAACCTAGTAGAAAGAGGGGCTCAGAGCTGGGGATGTAACTCCCAGCCTATGTGAGACCCTCTATTCAGTCTTCCGCACCACAAAAATACAGCATCAGGAAGGAGATAACCTACCTATAGTGTTTCTTGTATTTTGGAAAATCAGACATATGGTAAAAAGTATCTGAAGAGTAAGTGAAAATGACTATGAATAGTAGCAGGCAGCATGAACGCCTGTTATAAATAATACTTATTTTCAGTTTAGTAAAAAGGGGTCCAGAGCAAAGCAGAGAGGGAGCAGACAAGGCTGGGGTGAGTGAGGCAGGATGCAGTTGGCTGGCTCTGCCTGTCTCTGGGTGTTATCATTGAGTACCACAAAGTCCTCCCTCACAGGCCTGCTCCAGCCAGAACACCCTTCTCCTGCTTCCCTCCCACATCTGCTAGCTCAGTGCTGTGCATTTCTACCTAGCCTGTTAGCATAAATAAAGCCTTTTCTACATACAC